AACTACAGAAGAATATATAGTGTTCTACGAGTGCCTCAATGTAACTAGAAGGATAATACGAGTGCCTGAGTTTAACTCGAAAGGCAAAGATGAAATCTATAAGACAATTCCGTCGACCCTACAAATTGTGTTCGCCGTTTACCCTGCAGGTACTTGCACCGCCGTGTGACTACACAAGGTACCCGGTGGACCTGGTTGCCATATTCCAACAGCATAATCAAATCCACCTCTGCAAGGGTTCATGGGTGTCATCTATTAATATCCATCTACTAATATTTTAAACCTAGGTATTCCCTCAAGCTCTTTTTTTCCCCAGTCCACCAGCGGCAGCGCTGCATTATAGTCCTTCTATCGGCTCTAAGGAATGCAGGTGCGGACCGTCCGCTACCAGGTCTAGCTCATATACCTTAGAACTCCGTTGGATGGGATTCAAACTGAAGCAACATGAAACATTTCCCTCACCTCCCGGCAAGAAATATTTGTTCGACTCACATCAGACCTCTTTCGTCCCAGCGGTCTGCATCGTTGTAGGGCATGATATTGGGCTAGGAGTTAAATTGCAACAGAAATCAAAATGAGGACAATCGTCACCGAATATGGCCTAGGCTCGAGTCGAACGAGCGACTCCCACTGATAAAACATATTTATTTCATGTGGAGTGGGTGCGGACCATCCGCTACCGGGCCCTTTGGTAGGTATTTGCGAACCTTGGTAGATGGGAATCAGAATGAAGATCAGATACAGTCCCCCCGGCAAGGAATATTTGTTCGACTCACATCAGACCTCTTGCGTCCAGCGGTCTGCATCGTTGTAAGGAATGATATTAGGCCAGGAGTTAAATTGCCGCAAAAATAAAAATGAGGACAGAAGTCAACAAATATGGCCCGGGCTCGAGTCGAACGAGCAACTCCTACAAAATCCTACATGAGCCCTACTTATGTGGAGTGGGTGCGGACCATCCGCTACCAGGCCTTTCTGTAGGTATTTACGCACCTTGGTAGGTGGGAATCAAAATGAAGCCAAAATAAAATAAATGCCACGTCAGCCAGGCGAGGAATATTTATTCGACTCACACCAGAGCTCTTAACTCCAGCGGTCTGTATCGTTGTAAGGAGTGATCTTGGGAAGGGAGTAAATTTTTTTTTTAATGAAGACAGAGTATGGCCCAGGCTCGAGTCGAACGAGCAACTCCCACAAAATACTACATGAACCATACTTATGTGGAGTGGGTGCGGACCGTCCGCTACCGGGCTTTTTGGTAGGTATTTGCGAACCTTGGTAGATGGGAATCAAAATGAAGCCAAAATATGATAGGTTCCACGTTCTCCTGCAGGCTAAACTATTTTCGTTCATAATCAGCAAACACGCTCAGATCGGGCTTGCGGAAAAATAAAATAGGATGTGTTTTCCGTCTTTGGTGTCGGGTTCAATGAATGTTTAGTTTTTATGTGAACAATAATAATAAAAAGGGGTCTTGTTACAACGACACGATCTATGGCCCGGACTCGAATCGAACGAGCGAGTCCTGCCAAATCTCCAAGAGGCCGTGGACACAGAATGCAGGTGCGGACCAACCGCCACCGGGACTTATTCCTCTTCATGTAAACTTGGCTAGATGGGAATCAAGATGAGAAATATCGGCAGATCAAAAAGGACGTTATACCCAAATATGGCCCGGGCTCGAGGTGAAGGAGCATCTCCTGGCAGGAACACAGGAGAGTTGTATTGGATCCGGGTGTGAACTGTCCGCTCCCAGGCCATATTTCCTCACATGCACTCCGTTAGATCGGATTCAAAGTTAGAGCCAACCAGTTTCAATACACTTCTAGTTACTTCCTCCGCAAGTCGATTTCGACTTCTCACATTTATCATCTGCGGGCGTAGAGTCGAATTGAACGGACAGTAATACAGAAAAAAGAAAATGGAAAAAGTCAATGTGACCATGGCCCGGGCTCGAGCCGAACGAGCGTTCCCTGCATGATGCCGATTTAAACCGTCAGTATGGAGAGCAGGTGCGGACCATCCGCTACTGGGCCTTTTTGGAGGTATTTGCGAACCTTGGTAGGTGGGAGGCAACACTTGCTGGACCGACGGCGTTTTGGAAGCACGTCGAGGTAGTTCGAGGACCGAGGTGCCCTTAGGTGCCAGTGTGCGGGTGTCGCATCCCATCGCGGTCAACAAAAGCCGTATGCGCGCGGGATGACTGAGCCGTCAACGCCGTTCGCAAGGCGACGCCAATGCAACGCCGGATCCCTTTCTAAATTTCACGGCGAAAGGTTCTGCTATCATAACTCGCAGTGTTGAACATCCTACCAAGGAAATAGGGGCTCACACCAACTCTTCGGCAACTTGAAGCCGAAGCCGACCGAGCCGATCAGCTGTCAATGTCAATTCCGAGGCTGTGCCTTCTCGCATCACTCTATCTAATTTGAATTCGACTGTTCCTACCCCACCGCGCCCCACCCTCGCTTTCTGGATGAAGTTCTCACTCTCGCCGCGCTCGCAAGCGTGGCCACGCTCGTGTCGACAGTGGGCGCGATCCCCAAAATCACGCGTACAGGACGGTACAGTACCTGTACGCCGATGACGGGACTAGGTTTTTCGTCAAGGGGATTACGTATCGGACGCAGGGTGCATTCTCTTGTGGAAAGAGTGGAGAGGAAAAGAGAAGAAAACTAACGAAAAGAGATCTGAATAGACTTGTGATACCTAGCCCGGACAACCTGCTCAACCAGCCGTCGACATGTGCGTCCCATCAATTAATCCAAGCAACCAAACTAATTCCCAATCCTCCCTCAGACGTATGCGTGCCCTGCCCTCCTAACATCCCTATTCCAATCATCCATCTCCTCTTCCTCTCCAATCCTTCCCGCTATCCCCTTTCCCGCATCCCTCCTGTGCGTTCCTTTCATCATGGGGGGTCGATGTCGAGCTGAGTGCGACCTACGGCAATGGTGCACCTCGCTGTGTTTTTTTATGCACTCACGCGGCTGTTGCCGTGCTGGTGCTCTATCTTTCACCGGCGCGCCGGGAGGTTATGGTTATGGCCGGGATGCCCTGCCTTTCCGCTTGCGCTTGCTTGTTTCTTCTTTTGCGTATTTATTGCGCCTGCGTTTGCATTTTGCGTCATGTACACTTTGTGTTATGTATGTGCTGGTGCATACCTTGCCTTTCGTCCCGTGCTTGCATCTGCATTGGTAGGGACAGCTTGTCTTGGAACAGGTTCGATTATACATAGTCACTTGTCGATCATCCTCGAGTTTGTCGATATGATTCCCCCAGATTCCTCCCAATTTAAACCTTGGGGCACTCGTTGAGAAGCGGAAACCAAACCAGTGGCCGGTTCCGTGTGCCGTAACGGGAGTTCCGCAACAACTCCGCAAATTCTCAGCTACTCACAGATTCCCTACCTCCCTACCGCCATCCAGCCTGGCCACGGTTCCACCCAAGACCCGAAGATGCATCGATATCCCTCAGCTTTCCTATCTCACCAGAGAACATATCTCAAATTGAAGCTACTGAAATGCTCCGATCCCATACCCCCCGACGTCGATCCATCTGAAATCCGCCATCTCATTATCAATAGTGGCTGGAGGATCTGTAGCTCGGGATCCCTAGACGAGGCGCTCTGTGTGCTCCCCGCCTTGCCCATGCTAGAGGTACTGCGTCTACACTACATGACCTGGGACAATGTATCCAAATCCTCGAAAACGATCCTCACATCATCCTTCAGCCACATCGTCCAGCTGGAATTGTCCAGGTTTGGGTGTGACACGTTGCAGGAGCTCGTGGAAATCCTGCTTTCTTTCCCTCGTTTACAATCTCTATCATTGGATGAACTCGAGGAGACTATCGAATCGGTCAAACCCGCCCTTCCCGGGCTTGGAATCTCTCCCCCATTCCAGCATCTGACTAGCCTTCACATCTCGCTCTCATACGCCGCCGATTTCGTATCGTGGTTGCTCAAGATTGAGCCGCTACCGCCGATTTCTCGCCTCAGTCTCGGGGAGATTGCGGACTCTTTCCCGATTTACCCCGATTGCGAACCCTGGCAGGATCGTGGCATTCTCAAGCACCAGGCCAATGCATTGGTCGATTGTCAAAGACATTTTGCGGCCTCGATAGAGCACGTTATTTACCGTGCTATAGGTGAGCAGTCTGCCCCTATATATCCAGACGTCCTGACTATCCATAGGCAACTACGGCGATGCACTTCACCTTCCCGCTCTTCGCATTTTAGAGGGCGGAATCTGGTCTATTGAATCAAGTTTGCACTGTTCGACATTCGGCGCTCTATCCACCATTATTCTCCATGTCAGCTATCTGCCGTCTTTGGTGGATGAGAAACATTCCAGACCTCTTCGAAATACTGTCAAACCTTTATTGGCGACACCGCCTCTCGCATCTGTGCAGTTTCTCCACGTTGTCATTCAAGAGTGGGCGCTGTACCCTGCGGGCCTGAATGACAGCCAAGCGGTCGAGGCAGCCACCAGAAGTATTCGACGGGAACTCGGGCCCGAGTTTGAGGAGCGTGGTGGGGTTTTAAGGTTCAGTTGGTCTTCCGTGGTAGGCCCAGTTCCTTTGATGAGTTGAGCGGAGATTGAGTTGGCCAACAGGGAAGGTCGTGGGGTAAGGGATTGGATTCGTGAAACATGGCTCCTGTCATGAGAGTTGCACGATCTTGTACGAAAAGCAAGAAAAAATGTCTTCAAAATCCAGAAGATTCAGGATACATAATGCCCACGGGCCCCCTGAACGCAGTGTGAACGAACGGATTTCGTTTATGTGGAGTAGGTGCGGACCAGGCCTTTTCGGAGCTATTTGCGCACCTTGGTAGATGGGAATGAAAATGAAGATCAGATACAGTTCCATCCCCTCCCGGAAAGAAATATTTTTTCGACTCACACCAGACCTCTTGCGTCCAGCGGTCTGCATCGTTGTGAGGAGTGATCTTGGGAAGGGAGTCAAAATGGGGCAAAAAAAAAAACGAAGACCAAGGATGGCCCGGGCTCGAGTCGAACGAGCGACTCCCACTGACTGGATGGAATCCTATTATGTGGAGTGGGTGCGGACCATCATGGTCCGCTACCGGGCCGTTTGGTAGGTCTGTGCGAACCTTGGTAGGTGGGAATCAAAATGACGGCAAAATATGATACATTTCCATCCCTTCCCGGCAACAATCTGAACGAACAGAATTATTTCATGTGGAGTGTCATGGTGCGGACCATCCGCTACCGGGCCTTTTGGTAGGTATTTGCGAACCTTGGTTGGTGGGAATCAAAATGAAGCCAAAATATGATACATTTCCATCCCTTCCCGGCAACAAATATTTGTTCGACTCACACCAGACCTCACGGTCTGCATCGTTGTAAGGAATGATATTAGGTCAGGAGTTAAATTGCGGCAAAAAAAAAAAAATGAAGACCAAGGATGGCCCAGGCTCGAGTCGAACGAGCAACATACTACATGAGCCCTACTATGTGGAGTGGGTGCGGACCGTCCGCTACCGGGCCTTTTGGTAGGTATCTGCGAAGCTTGGTAGATGGGAATCAAAATGAAGCCAAAATATGACAGACATTCTCCTGGCTAAATTATTTTCGCCCATAATCAGCAAACACTCAGATCGGGCTTGCGGAAAATGAAATACAGGTTCAAGGACGTGTTTTCCGTCTGCAACTTGCATTGGTGTCGGGTTCAATGTTTAGTTTTTATGTGAACAATAATAATAAAAAGGCGTACTCAATGACAATAGCCCGGGCTCGAATCGAACGAGCGAGTCCCGCACAAAGCACAACACTCGGCTATGTACAATAGGTGCGGACTAACCGCTACGGGGCCTTATTCCTCTTCCTGTAAATTTGGCTAGATGGGAATCAAGATGAGATATATCGGTATAAAAATAAGATCAAAATGGATGTTATACCCAATATGACCCGGGCTCGAGTCGAACGAGCGACTCCCATTAAACCGTCGAATTTCATTTATGTGGAGTGGGTGCGGACCATCCGCTACCGGGCCTTTCTGTAGGTATCTGCGAACCTTGGTAGGTGGGAATCAAAATGAAGCCAAAATCTGACGGGTTCCACGTCCTCCTGGCTAAATTATTTTTCGTCCATAATCAGCAAACATGCTCAGATCGGGGTTGCGCAAAAATGAAATGGACGTGTTTTCCGTCTGCAACTTGCATTGGTGTCGGGTTCAATGAATGTTTTTATGTGAACAATAATAATAAAAAGATGTCTCAATGAAGCGATCAATGGCCCGGGCTCGAATCGAACGAGCGAGTCCCGCACAAAGCACAACAATCGGCTATGTACAGCAGGTGCGGACCATCCGCTACCGGGCCTTATTCTTCTTCGTGTAAACTTGGCTAGATGGGAATCAAGATGAGAAATATCGGCATAAAAATAAGATCAAAAAGGACGGTATACCCAAATATGGCCCGGGCTCGAGTTGAACGAACATCTCCTGGAAGGAACACATCGGGTGTGGACTGTCCGCTCCCAGGCCATACTTCCTCGCATGCAAAGTCCGTTAGATCGGATTCAAAGGTAGAGCCAACCGGTTTCAATACACTTCTAGTTGCTTGAAGTTCGAATTCCTCCGCAAGTCGATTTCGGCTTCTCACATTTATCGTCTGCGGACGTAGAGTTGAATTGAAATTGAACGGACGGTAAGACAGAAAAAATAAAATGGGACAAGTCGATGTGGCCATGGCCCGGGCTCGAATCGAACGAGCGTTCCCTGCATGCATGATGCCGATCTACGCCATCAGTATGGAGAGCAGGTGCGGACCATCCACTACCGGGCTTTTGCAGGTATTTGCGAACCTTGGTAGGTGGGAATGAAATCGCGAGATGAAAGTTGCACTCGCTGGACGGACTCGAGGCAGTTTGAGGCAGTTCGAGGACTTACATAGGTGCCAGTGTGCGGGTGTCGCATCCCATCACGGTCAACAAACGCCGTATGCGCGCGGGATGACTGGGCTAACCCTAGTCTGGGCCGTCAACGCCGTTCGAGCTTCGCAAGGCGACGCCAATGCAACGCCGGATCCCATCGCCCGTTTCTCCCCCCCTTTCTACATTTTACGGAGAAAAGTTCTGCTATCATAACTCGCAGTGTTGAACGTCCTACTGCGGCAAGGAAATAGGGGCTCACACCAACTCTTCGGCAACTTAAAGCCGAAGCCGAACCCGCCGAGCCGATCAGCTGTCAATGTCAATTCCGAGGCTGTGAAGCGGTCCTTTCTCTCATCTTTGATCACTGAGCTAAATTTCTCTTCAAACGACTCCTTTGTCGGGGCTCCTTTCCGTCCTAGTACCCCTTCTATCTACTTTCAATTGACTCTCCCTGCTGCACCACCCTCGCTTTCCCATGAAGATTCCTGGGCTCGCCGCGCTCGCAAGCGTGGCCACGCTCGTGTCGACAGTGGGCGCGATCCCCAAAATCACGCGTATAGGACGGTACCTGTACGCCGATGACGGGACTAGGTTTTCCGTCAGCGTTCTCTCTCTTCGGTTTCAAAAGTGCTAACGAAATAATGTATAGGACTTGTGATACCAGGCCCGGACAACCCGCTTAACCAGCCGTCGACATGTGCGTCCCCAACGCACACACACAGTCGTCGACCAACTCGCCGACTCGGCCGGCTGCACGCGCGACCTTCCCTTCCTGCAAACACTGGGCATCAACGCCATCCGCGCGTACAGTGTCGACTCGAGTCTGAGATCTGAACCACGATGCGTGTATGCAGATGTTGAGCGGGGCGGGCATATATGTCATGTACGTGTCCAAGTCCTCCCTAATCCCTTCTTTCTCTGTGGAGCTAATGCTGGGTGTAGACTCGACCTGACCCTCCCGCTCAATGGCTCGATTGACACGAAGATACCCGCGTGGGGGACGAATGTGTTGGATCAGGTGTGTTGTCTCTTCTCCTCCCCTTCCTTTCGTTAACAAAAACGCCTTGACAGTACATAACGACCATCAACACCTTTTCCAAATACGACAACGTCCTCGCCTACAACGTCGGCAACGAGGTCCTCACCTCGATCGCTACCAACGCCGCGCCGTTCCTCAAAGCGGCGGCGAGGGATGTGAGGATGTATCTAAATCAATCTCTTCACCCGCCCCAATCGGGTACGCCGACGTCGACGGCGCCGCGTCTTTCCGGGACGGATATCTCTTCTGCAATCTCACTGGGGCGAACGACGGGGCGAGCGCGGTGGATTTGTTTAGGTTGAATAATTAGTGAGTTTTTTTTTGGTTTTCGTGAGAGAGGGAAGAAGAGAGGGACGGCGGAGAGGAGTGTACCCTCAAGCGGGGCGGCGTCGTGCTCTGCGCATCCTGGGCTGAGAGTTCTCGAGTACTGTCTTCCTCTTGTCCGTTGTGGCGGCGGAGATGAAGACGAAGATGGTGGGAGCGAGTTCCTCTTCAGCGCTGCGGGTGCGGCTGCCGCGAGGATGGGGAAGGGGGAGGATATGGGAGGAGAATGTGCCGCCCGCGCACGAGTTTGCTGTCCTCTTTTCCGGGAAGAAGTGCGTGGACGTGGTGCTGCGCATGTACGGCCAGTCTCTGTACGTGAGGCGGGCGAGGGAGGAGGGGTAGGACGAGTGCCCCGAGACGCACGAAGGCGGGTGGATGAGGACGATCTGCGCCTCCTCGAGCTCATCCGAGACGGATGTGACGGAGGCGCTAATGGTCGACGGCTGGAGTGCGGGGGACGAGGACCTCGAGCGCGCAGAGCACGAGGAGCTCGACCTTCCTCTTCCTCTCTCCCTCATTTCGAGGCGGTGGCTTGTGTGTCCGCCTCCCTCCATGCTCCCGTGTGGAACTAGCTCCACTGTCTTGTCTTGCTCTCTTACAAATGTCTCCCCTGCCATTTTATCTTATCGCCCTTTTGTTTCATCGCTTTTTAAAAAAGAATCTCGCTCGGATGCTAACGAATTTCCGACGTACAGCGAATGGTGTGGCGACGCCGCCTCGACTACGTACGAGGGCTCAATGCGGAGCTCAAGGATTATAATATCGTGGCGTATTTGTGCGTTTTTTTTTCTTTCTGTCTACATTCCCGATTTCTGTTTTTCTCTCTCGCCTTTTTTTATATCGATTTTGCTTTCATTTCGCTCTTTGTTTTCTTCCCCTTCGAGCTCCGCGCGGACTTATACACTTGTGTACCGTGTCTGTGCGAGGCGGGAGCAGCAGGCGACTCGGCTTGCTCGAGGCGGGGTGCGTTTCGAGTAGATCTCTCGCGAGGGTTTCTTTCTTTCTTTTCGGCCTGAAGGAGGATCCCTCAAGCTCCGCGCGGACTTGTGCGCTCGTTTCTGTGCGATGCGGGAGCAGCAGGCGACTTGTCTCGCTCGAGGCGCGCCGCGTTTCGAGTCTCTCGCGAGGATTTCTTTCTTTTTGTTTTCGGCGAGAAGCAGGATCCCTCGAGCTCCGCGCGGACTTGTGTACCAGCCGGTGTCTGTCCGCCTGCGCAGCGCGAGGCGGGAGTAGCTAGCTGGGGGAGGAGGGAAAGAGTCGAGCTTCACCTCGGCCCTTCGCCATGTGGAGGATCCCTCGAGCTCCGCGGACTGGCAGGAGGAGGAGGAGGCGAGGGAGGGAAAGAGTCCAGGCGACGTGTCTTTGTGCTGTGGGAACGGAAAGGGGAGGCGTGCACGGAGCAGGGGCCTGTTGTGCGCAGAGGGGAAACGAGGTGTTTCGGGGCTGCGCGAGGCCCGCACAAAGGGCGTGCACATGGCGCTCCTGACGCCCGAGGTGCTGGTCCGGCGACTACACCCCATCCTGCCGCTTATCCCGCTCGTGCTTGGGAGGAATTGTCGAGCAAGCGCGCCGCTAGGCTGTCGAGTGGTGGGGCGCGTCGCTGGGTCGAGTGGGGTGCGTCGCGGAGATGCAGAGTGCGAATCGACGCGCCACGAAGCTGTGGGGCGTCGAGAGGAGGAGAGGGCTTGCTGACTGCGCGCGCGCGTTTTGGGACCGCACGTCTCGCAGCAGCTGCGCTTTGTGCTGGAAAGGGAAGGTTTGCGGGTCGTGCGGCAAAAGCAGACGGCCCGTCTGCACTACATACCCCGGTGCACCTTCGCTGTGTCTGGGAGATGCAGCTGTTCCTCCGCATGGCCGTCCCTCCCCCGGCGGGATGCCGTGGGACGGGTGGGAGATGAGCTTGGCGGGTGGGCTCCGCGCAAACGAGAACAGACAAGGGGAGGGGAGGTGGAGGAGCAAAACGAGGCTTCGCGGATGACTGTCCCGTCGCCTGTGGATCCGGGGAAGGTGTGGGCAGTGTGGGCGGCGGGTGCGTGTGTTACTGCGGGGCGCCAAGGCGTGGAGACACGGGGAGGCGCGAGGACACGCGCGCATTTGTCCGGCGGGTGGTGAGGAGGACGGATGCTGCGCTGTAGGCGACAAGTCGCGATCCAGCGAGGCTCGAAGCCGCGTCCACCGAGCGCGGTGTTCACACCCACCGTGCCGGCGGGGGCGACTGTCCCCGCGAGCTCGGGGTCGAGTGGGAGTGGGAGTGGCTGGCGGAGTGGGAGTGGGAGCGGGGGGAAGGGCAGCGGCACGGCGAGGCTGGGTGGGGGCAGGTGGTGGTGGGCGTGCTGGCTGCGGTGGGGTGTGTGGTTGGGGGATGGTGATGGTTTGGATGGGAGTTCGTGTAGTGAGGTGCTGGATTATTTTGGACTCAGCTTCGGACGGACTTTGACTTGACATTATCTATCCATTATACGTGGGACGGATACGTAAAAGACACTGTGCGCTGTCTTGTATATCCCTTAACCACTCTTGGCAGGTAGCTCTCCTTGTCGACTTTCGAGGATGGTAGACGCTCGCATTTCCTTTTTTGGACTTTTTGACGGCGCTTAAACGTGGCTGTGCGGGCGCTTGCGACTTCTCCTTTTCACCCAAACACATTCCTCGCAAATGACTCTACGGCGGCGATCAGCGGAACCTAGGATCCCGGATTTCATGCTCTGGTTTGAGCTGGGATGGCCATTGTCTGACCTCTGTACACACCCTCCGACGCCCGGGCCGTAAGGGCCCTAAACAAGTTGTGACAAAAACAACGGCGGCGGGCGCTAGACTCATGATCACTTGCATTCACAATGCGCTTGAACCGGAAACGCAATTGAACGCGACGAGGATGTATCTAAGAAAAAAGAAACGAACAAACCATCAAGCTCGGCGTATCTTCTCGTGTCAACCGGGGCCACCTCTCGCTCACAGTGATCACTGGCTTCTTCGCTTGGAGCCCTGGACAGACCAAGGCTGGACTTTATCCAACAAGTTCCGCAACGATACTGGTTCCTAGAATTTCATCCAGGTTCATGGACTGGTGGCCAGAGGCCCAGA